CACTCACTTGGTTCATAGACTGCAGCTCCTGGCATTGGTATTAATTCAGCAATATTGTTGCAATAAACCAGTGGATCTTCTTGCAAAAATTATGGTATAAACTCTTTCTCATGATTTTTTTTATGAGTAAAATGATGTCCCTGGAGAAGGTAAGTTCTTAGCCCAAAATCTAGACCCCAAAAATCTCTGAAGAATTCTTTGGAAGGCCCAAATCTCTCACCAAATCATTAAGTTCACCTTGTATGAAAAGTTGTGGTTTACCAGATGTTTCAGGTTGGAAACGATCTCTGTCATCATTTCTATTGACATCAGATTCAGAATCAGATGATACTCTATCAAGAGTCTCCAATGTAATAGGTACAGGTACATCAAGTCAATGAGCAACAGGTCTTATAGTAGATTGAAAGTTCGGATAGCAATTTTCCTTTTTATTTTGAGTGTTGTAGCCTTGCATGTTAAACAAGCAAAAATAGCAGTCATCACTGTGGTTTCTAGGTTCATGCCAGACCATTGGAATTCCAAAAGGCAAATACTTTTTCTTACCTTTGGCTCATTGTTTCAACTCTTCAACACAAATGATGCAAACTTTGTACGGAGCCCAAGATTTATCTTGGTCCCCAAGTTTTATTCAAAAATATGATTTTTTGACAAATTCTGTAATGTTTTGCCTTTTCTTCTTTAGAACAGATTTACCACAAATATAACAGAATATATTTGGGTCATTTACACAACCTCTCGTTGCCATAACAAGAAATATATAATACTGAAAAGAAAAAAATAATGTCAGAGTGCACACATAAACAAATATTATCCAGAAATGAAATATTATGTGGCTTATTAACCAATTATATACTAGCAGTGTTTTTCATGGGTTCTAGAGCAATCGATAAGACTCTCATATCATGATTTGTCTAGAGAAATCTGTAGCCATTGGTTTCTAACATTTTAAGCATAACAAAATGTGACCCGATTTCACTAAAAATTATTTACTTATGTAAAAGTACATATGATATCTTGTGAAAAACCTGTATGTGATATAGAAAAATGGTTACCACTTTTGGATTCATTGTATAAGAATTACTGTAGAACATGTAAAAATTTCAAGACAATAAAACCATCACAGGCCTGTGTTATCAAAACAATAATGGTAACATAATATAATTTTATAAAAAAACAATTTTTAACAGCCCAATTACAAGAGACTTGAAAAAGATGACAGTTTTACCCAGGTATCATACAAGAAAAAAACACCTCTTTTAACATTTGATATATTTTAATCACACAGGCACTTTCTATTCATACAAGCTGAACCAGAAAACTCGTAACAATAAAATTTTCAAAATCCTATGAAAAGCTTACCAAAAATTCCCCCAACTGTGTTCAAGTGAACTGACAGTAAATATTTAGACTGTTGTTCGTAGTCAATTTTGGGATCCTGAATCCTTAATTCACAATCTTGATTCTCACTCTCAACTACATAAAAGTGACCTACAAAAGAAAGAAATAATAATTTTATGTTTTTCTCTCTTTCTATTTAACATTGATAGTAAAAACTCTAATTGCATCTTTTGGTTTGACACTGATTTGAAATACCAAGAGATAAATAATAGGAATATCAATTGCAACCCATATGAAAATAAAATAAAACCAAGTTTAACACTTAATTGGAACTACAACAAGAGTTCTGTTAAAAAACCATTGAGTTACCTGTAAGACTCAAGGTGATATCAAGATAAAACATTTTATTAACATTATGTTTTGAATGTGAAATCTATCTGGGAACAATCCATTAACTAAATGGAAACTTCTTGTTTTTCATTAACATGTCAACAGAAAAAAAGGTGACTTAGAAAATAAGTAAATTCAGGTTCAGGTGTTTTACAACATAAAATGATGTTTTAATACAATGGAATTCCCAACTGGTAAGCAATAAAATCTTGAGTTATCAACAAAATCCAGCTCTGTAACAGAAACAGCTAATCATGCAAGTATAATCAATATTAAATCTTGAATTCCAACCAGGTAAATGTTTGGGAAGGCCACACACAGAGGTGTATGATTTTAGATGACAGTGTTTCTCTGCACCAAGTTTTACACTCTTTCATGGCTAATGTATGTTTAGATCTACAGTTATGTCTTCAGTAGCACTTTCTGTACATCGCAGTGTTGTATTTGAGCTAATTAGCTAAATTTGAACTGAAAATTAGATCATTAAAAGTTAGGTGTTACTCTTAGTGAATTAATAATAAATAATTTCCATAATAATGCCCAGATCTGAAATATCTGTGATATGACCACTGAGCATTTACATCTACATTTCACTATTTTTGAACACACATTCTTCATAGAATTTTTCATAGAACTTTATTAGGAGAATCAGATCATCTTCTATTACATTTTGAGTCAATATAGGTTCTTTATGTAAAACATCACACTATTCAAAGTGCTGTTGAATGAGATTTTTAAAATGGCTTATTTTAATATTGCTGAGCAAATTATCAGTTTGAATGATTAATCTCCATTTCAAAATCATAAGTTTGCATAACACAACTAAGAGATAGGACATATCACAATATCTTGCCTCAGTAGAGTAAATAAACTAACACTTGACAGATACCATTTCTGAATTTCAAACTTAAATCTAAAGAAGTACAGTGTAATAATATTTAATTCTGAAGTGTAAACTGCACAACTACATTTAAGTATGTCAGAATTTAAAAATATATATTCTTCTTTTTTGCCAGTTGTCAGAATAAAAGGCTTTTACTCATATTTCTTAATAGTATAAATATAAACTATGTTGTTGTTGGGCTTAGGATTCTTCTGCAGTAGGTGTCTGTGACTTGTTAGCGATAAATTCGACGATGAATAAACAGCATGCACTTCACTTAATTTAATATATATTTGGAACAAGTTAAACATCTGTACAACAAATTCTTTACACTATAGAGATTATAGGCATATCATAAACACTATATATATAGTTTCCTTCTTGTCAAAAGTCCATTTAGGCCTATTCAATTATTCTAGAATTTCAGTTGACAAGTCGAACTATCTTCTCTATATTACTATCGTACTAGTATTCTGTGTGTGATTTACTTACAGTTGTGGCATGAGTTACTGTAATTGTTTGGTCTTCTTTCTTCTGAAGATCCTAAGTTATTTTTCTTTTCTACTGTTAGTCTTACTTTAACATATTAAATGATAGACCTATGTCAATTGTTAGGCTTATCACTTCTACTGTAGTTAATATCAAGCCAAACCTTTCCTTTTGTAACTTTTCTGCTATTATCTGTCTGTTGCTTCCTGCTTGTCTCATGCCATTTATATCTTTATCACCTTATCCTCTATCTGCCTCCTATATTCTCGACATTAATGTATTGCATGCAATATTCAATAGTCTCCACATCAATGAATTATTAACAAAACCTCCTACAATCATCTGCTTTGAATTCCTATTATAACAAAAACTAAATAATAAAATATTCACTCACAAAAACAAATCAATCAATAACATCTCAATATCATGACAAAGTACTTTATTTTTAAGTGTTGTTATATGCAAATAACATCTTTATTTTTTTACCTTTCCATGTAGGTTTTTTTTTAAAAAAAGACTTTTTGGTTATGATTATTAAGCACATAGTCTGTTCAGAACCAATTGTTAGCTGATAGTATATTTATATTTATAGTAAGATGCCCCGAAACTGCTACTTCTTTTTTTGTTTAATTATCTAAGAAATAAAGAAGCAAGGAAAATAAAATTTTGCCCATGTGTGATAATTACAATGAGAAACATTTTATAGAATACCCAAAAATTTTACCAAAAGTAAAAAGAAACACTAACCCAATTAAGATTCTTATTACCAATTTAAATAAAATAGAAGACTTTCACAAAAAAAAAATAATCATAGACAGGTAACTCAGAATATTTTTTAGAGGATAAACTTCAGATAATTTTTAAATCAAATGATAATATGAAATTTTGAATAGAAATAGATAAGGCACTGGGAACAGACAATGTTTTTGAAGTATTTTAAAGGAGTTTGCAAGTCAGACCATTTTCTTTTCTTTTTTGGTAGATTAATAGACAGAAAGCAGGTTCCTGAGGATTGGAAAGTTGTCAATGTTACTGCTAAGAGAAAGGTGGATGGTAAGAGTTGCTCTGGAAAGCATAAGCCAGCTAAGTCTTACTTCTGAAGTGCTGAAAATTCTAGAGTATGACAAAAGAAGCTATCTAATGAAATATGGATTTACTGAAGGGAAATCTTGTTTCATCAATCAGTTAACTTTTTTTTGAGAATGTAACTTATTTGTATAATTGAAATGGTGTGAAGCTATAATTTTCTTATACTGAAAATGTACAGGTACATATGATAGGTACTTACCTATGTGCAAAAAAATTTTTTCGCATGCCACAAGCCTTAAGCTCTCATGTTTCTTACAATCAACTGGTTCAAATGCATCTCACATGTCAATCATCATGCAACAACCTTCCACCTATAACAGTGCAACACAATACTGACACGTGACTCCCTCTATGAGATTCTACCACACTATCCCTTCAAGTTTTGACAGAAAATAGAAGCATTGTTTTTAAGAGGAGAGGAGGTGAGTACCTATCAGAAATACATTTTCAGTATAGGAAAATGATAACTTCCAATATGGCACATTACCTCCTCTCACATAAATAGCTAGAATCCCAAATTGAATAGGTGGAGGGATCGGTGTGAGGGAAAAACAAAAGCAGCTTTCATTGAAAACACCCGAAGAATACCCTAAAAGAAAAGATCATCACAGAAGAGGATCATACATGAGAGACAGCACCACATCTGTATCAGGTATAATCTTTGTCCAGTGTGGAATGAGGTGTTGCAGACATGGGCAGAGAAAAGGAAGGAGCACATTCCTACAGGAGAAACAATGGTGGGATAGTGATCTGAACCACTATATAACAAGTCTCAATCCCACAGATTACAGGAATGTGGGTGAAATTAAAAGGATGTGCCCCTAGGTGTAGCGTGGCTAGAGTGTGACAGTCCGTAAATATCAAGTCAACTGCATCCAAAACCCAGGCCGGTGGGAACTAACATCCACATATTAAGTCAACTACATTCCAAACCCCAGCCACTGGGAACTGACATGCTTGTGGGAATAGGAAAGAGAAACTTGTCACTGACAAGTCAACTACAATCCAAAACCCAGCAACTAGGAATTGACATCCACGTGGGGGTAGGAAAGAGGATCATACAGACTGGAGGGAATTTCGTACCCCCCAATCTATGAACAGGACACATGATAGCAATGTGGGAAACTGGCTGACCAATCCAGGCATCTTGATGATCAGTATAGTAAAGATGTCCTTGTAATGTATATTACCCCACTCAAAACCAATCATCAAGGGATAGTGTAAGAGGAAGAACCGTATTAATCAGCAACACAGATGGAGGAACAAGAGTAAAACTGAGTGAGGAAATAGAGACACTTATAATATATTTGTGAAGACTTATATTGATTGGTTCAGCTCTGAATCTAAAACCCAGACATCCCTGTGGGAGTAGGATAAGGGATCCCAATTAAAGGGGGAATTTTAATTTTGATGGCTCACTCCAAAGCTACTGCATCTCATTGAACAAACCCATACAGAGATGGACCATCAGACTGAAGAAGATCTTGTCATCTACGTCAGCAAACACCACCGCCCTACTCTCAACTGAATGGTTTTATCATTACTTGTATTATATATATCATTATCACATTTAGGATGATGCCTCCATGATCCACCACCCCAGTGGATTAGAACTGGAAAGTGGTAAGGACTCTCTTACTCCACTAGAAGAAATAGAGGGGGGATGCGGTAGAGAATCTTGAAAAACATTCACACTGGAGACAGTACAATGGGTGATCATGAAACCCTATACAAAAAGTAGACCAAACCAATTTATTCAATCTAAGGAATGGCAGGGATGGGCAGCTATCCCCTTCTGCTTAACCCATGGACTTCATGGGTTAGTACAAACCAGAAAAGGCAGAAAATAAAGCAAATATATTTTGTGGAACATCCCATCTCAGCAGTGTGTGTTTAGTGGCCATGGAAATTATAATTGTTAAGTCATCATGGCCTTAGAGTGCAAATTTGACTAGTTTAAATATACCTGGACAAGCAACACTTACCACAGAGCAGGATCCATAAAGAAAAAAGGGATGTGCCTCTGAAAAATAAGAGGTATATATATACAAAAAGGTGTCTTACTCAGTCACAGTCTCACAAAAGAGTGAAAGATAACAACAGGTGGAAGACGGTACCCCAATGAGAAAGAAAAAGCTACCCAAAGTATAAAATGGGCGATAAACATATGAGGCGTAGTCCCACTGCTCAACAGAAGAAGTACCTCCAATGTACGATGAGGGTGAGATGCAGGTAAAAGGGAAGATGTCTAATCAGAGTGAAGATACCAGGAATTGATTATGGGGGAAAAGAAGAAAAGGCCAACTGAATCCTAAGGGCAGGAGAGGAAGAAAAAAAGTTAAAGAAAGGAGTGGTGCCAGGGAATAATACAGCAGGTTAAGAAACCAACGAAACAAGTCTTGAAGGCAATGAAACGACCCAGAGCAGGTACAGGACATAGAAGGCCAACCATATCTGACTGGGATTAAAGGTGGGAGATAGAAGGAAACAAAAACAAAAAACGGAAGAACATGCCCCACTAGCCATCAAAGTAGAGGGTAAGAAAAATTGATCCAGAATAAAAAGGACAAACTGAGGAAGAAGCAATCAGAAAGAATACAAAACATTGACATAGTGTGATAAAAGACATTACAGGAAAAAACCAAGAAGTGAATGAGGTGGGACAGATCAATCACAGAACTCCAATCTGCATGGATAATACATGACTAATGGAGGAATGTTTACATGTAGGACAAGTAAATGATGGGAAGGTGCTGGACATAGAACATGAATAAATGAGCCACTAAACAAAAAATTCGATTGTAGCAATACAGATACCTCACGTGATGCTGAAGTCAAAGGAGTAACCCCCCCCCCCAAAAAAATGGACCAGTGGAAAAGCCATCTGTAAGTCCCAATCAGAAGTGGAAAGGAAACAAACTTGGTACAAGAAAGTGTCTCACCCCAGAAGATCCCAAAAGCAAAGAAACCATGTTTGTAGGGAAAGAGCCAAAAATGGCAATCACTACAACATGAAAGTAAGGTATCGCACAAAAATCCCCAAGAAATAGATAGAATGCCTCAGAAAGGAGATACCTGTAGATGAAGGCTAGAAAACTAGACTAGAGAGAAAGGGATAGAATTAACAGTCTTCCCCCCATACAGGCAATAGATATCATAAGTGCTGAGAAGCAAGAAAACAAAAAACAATCTGCCTGATGGTAAGCTAAGGCAAAATGAACCAAAGCACATGGAGGGCAAGGAATAGCAACGAAAATAGCTATTTATATGAGCGGAGGTAATATACCATATCAGAATTTGAATTTTCCAAAGGGTTTTAACAAGGTATTACACAGAAACATAGCTAGACAAATCATTCTTGTAGAGACTGTGGAAAGACTAGCTAAATGGATTACAGGTCATTACAAAAAATAATGAAGTTCAATCAAACTGGACCTTTGTAATAATGGTGTTCCTCAAAGTGCATAGCAGTGTCTAGGCCTGTATTTTCTTATTTGATTAAAGATATTGATAGGGGTATAATTAATAAAGTTTGGTGATGACGGTAAACACAATGGTATTTCTAGCTGTACTGAGGATGTTGACGTACTACAGAATGACTTAGATGAATTAGTATATTAGACAAATAGATGGCTAACAGCTTTTAATTATAGGAAATGCAAAGCTTTTGGTTCAGTTAACGTTTCCCTAAGAGTTTTGAAAGAGGTTAAAGGTTAGATATATAAGCCTATTTTTTGTAAGTCTTTGAAGTGGGCAGGTGTGAGAAGATTAGAAGTTTGGTAACATTACTTTTCTTTTAAGGAAGGTGATTAAAATTGTCCAGGTAATTGCAGGCCTATTAGTCTCCATCAGTGGTAGGAAATGTTTATAAAAATCTGATAAAAGATCTTTTGGAAAATAGTTTAATAAAGTTAAGATGAATTTTTGGATAATTGGCATGGTTTCACTAGGAGAAAAATCTTGCTTTACTAATCTTCTTTTGACATTCTTTGCTTATGTATATGAGGATAGTGATGTCAATTTGGCGTACCTAAATCTTCATAAAGATGCCACATAAAAGACTTGTTAAAATGACATAGACTTGTTACATCAATGACATAGCTTAAGGAATGGTCAATAAATTACTTAAATTTGCTGATGAGATAATGACTTCAGTATTATTTGTTGTGTGGAGGATGTAACTGCTTTACAAAAGGACTTGTATTATTTGGTAAGTTTGGCAGAGTAAATGGCAGAAGGCTTTCAATTGTAATAAATCCATATAATAATTATCATAATTTTAATTGTAAATATAACTTTGATGGGAATAACATTAACAGCATTATGGAAGAAAAGGATCTTAGTTTTCTGGATGATAAGTATCTTGAGCCATCCAAACAGCATGCTGTTGTTATTGGTAGGTTACAATTTCATTGTATAGGTCACTGGTTAGGTCTCTTTTAGAATATTGTGTTCAGTCCTGGGCTCCTTACCTTCAGAAGCACATTGATTTGCTGAAGAGGGCTATTTGGATGATACCTGTGATGAAACGGTTGTCATACAAGGACCCAATAATTATGATCTCTAAAACTGTTTTATCTTGAAAAAAAAAAATATTAAGAGATCTCATTGAGGTGTTTAAGATTATCAAGGGAACTTTTAATGTTAATGCATCATCTTTTCTTGTACTTAATGGTGAGAATGATAGGACTAGAGGGCACAAACACATATTTTGGTGGGGTAAGACTCATCTTCACCTAAAAGAGTTTTCTTTTTCTAATAGGCTGGTTGGCCTATGAAATGGGTTGCCTTCAGATGTGGTAGATGCAGAAAATGTAAAGGAAGGCTTGTTAGATATTTGAATGATAATGGTTGGCTTTCACTTTCGTAAAGTTTAGTTTAGCAGAAGTGACAGCCTAGATAGACCAAAATGTCCCTTGTTGTTCTTAAAATTAATGTTATTTCATGTTTGAATCAGAATGATCAGCCACATGGGAAACTCTAGTCACTCTGAATAAATTTGATGTTACCTCTTAAGTAAGGTACATTAGCTTTAAACAATCTGATACATGATGTTGAAGTCAGTTTGGAGAGAGTACAGCTTAATATCCAGTAAAAGAGAGTTTCTAGCATACACATAGTGTTTTGGTGTTATTTAACAAAGATGTTCATTTGTATTTTACATCATGTCCAGTAGCTTTATTTTGTTCTCATAAACTCAGTTATTCAGAAAATTTCCGTAGCAGATATCTTGTCAAATCTCTCATTATTCAGTGGACCTTTCCCATTGCTCTAAGTTAAACCAGTTTGACCTGAATATACTACTACACATATTTAAAATGATATATATACATTAACTGGGCACCTGTACTAAAATTCTACCTTTCTTGAAAGAAAAAGTAAAGCATTTTAATACGTTAAATACAAAATTTACTTCAGAACTTTCTATAACATCACCAACTTGACTGTACGCTAGTTTCTACTTATTCAAATGAACAATTCAAACATGAAATTTAAGCATAAACCCATTCATTTTTTATATAGAATTAAAGATTTGTATACCAGATATTAACTAAAAAACAGATAAAGTTCCATTTTTATTCCTTATGTGAATGACATTTAAACAATTTAAATAAGAATGACGATTATTAATTTTTTAGTTCAATAGTAAATTATTAGTACTTCTTAATAGTGAGTACATACCTTACAGTTGACATTATAAAATAAACTTGATCAGAATATTTATTCCTTACATACTTGAATGTGAATGCATATAAAAACATCTAAATTGAAAAAATAAAACAAAATAATCGAAAATGCCAATAGAGATAAGGCTTGAACTTTATTTATAATACATTTAAAGACGAAAAAGTGAAGAGGCATCATAGAATAGCTTTACTTGCATATTCAGACTTTATGAACATACAGATAATATAGTTTGAGACTCTGTGAACAGATATCATAAAATAATTGTATTTGTATATTTAAACTTTGTGAACAGGTACCATAAAATAGCTTCACTTGTATTACTATAATTCCAACAGACATCATACAACAGTTTTACTTGTTTACTTTTACAGTCTAGACTTTGTTAACAGACATCATAAAATAGCTTTCATTGAATATTTAGATTTTGGTACTTAACAGTTGGAGAAAAAATGGATAACATATTGCTGTACACAAAATAAATCTTCTTAATAATTTGCAGCTTTTTTAAATTTAAATTTTTCTAAAGTTAATTAAAATCTGTCATTTTATTATAATTTCTAATGGCAATAAAGATATTGTGAATAAAAAAATTAGGTGTATCAGATATTTCCTTCAAATTAAAGCATGAATTTGTGAGGTCTGAAAACAGGTAAAGCTGAAAAAACCTGGAGGTGAATAGCAAGAATAACCAAGTCCATAATCAGTACCATAGTCTATAGGGAGGGCTGAAGAAGGGTAGAAAATGGGTTATTTAAAAAACCACCTAGTGCATTTTAACTTAATAGTTAGATATTCATGCAGAATTAATATTAACATTAACATTATTGCTTCTATATCAAATATCTCTTATATTTGTGCATTAATAACAGTGGAAAAAACACTAATTTTCCACAACATGACATTTAATTCTTTCACGGACAATATTCTTTCATTTTGATGTTTTTACAGATACAGATTATACATTTAATAACTCCATGTAACTTGTATATATTTTCATCATCAACTTCCAAAATTATTTCCATCTTGAAATGAACAGGACAACAACACACATGTGTCAGTTTGAATATGCCACTGATCTATAATGCAAAGACAAGCCTGATTTAGAAAGGGTGTTTGCCATTGACCAAGTAGATTTTCAGACTCCATTTCTTTACTTCTGAGACTTTTAATAAAAGGTTTTCCAGAGTATATGGAAGATAATTCTGTTTACATCCTCGAACCTCCCCCCCCCCTCCAAATATTGCAATTTTTTTCTCATCAGATTTGTATCAATCTCATTAATGATCAATTGTACATCTAATCTAAAATACAAGGCAAAAAACCACAAATTGGCAGTCAGAAATATATTTGTCTTTTTTGTTAGGATGACAAAATAAATAACTTATAATGATAAAACAAGATCTTCATTATAAACATACTGTGTAATTCTTAGGTTCAGTCACAAAATATATCTGAACAAATTTATTTCCATTACACAGATTTGGAACTTTTGGAAAAAGCATTGAAATAATACATCTGCAGGAACTTTTCTTTACCTTTTTCATTGCCAGAAACAATTTCACAGCTAACAGGAAAATGTCCAGTAGGTTTATTGACAAGTGGAAGCACCTTTATTAGTGTATTGGTCAAGGCCATTTCTTCAACTTCCACACTAAAATAAAGAAACTATATACTTGAATAATTCAGTTATTTTTTGTCACTTGTTACAGCTTGCAAAATAATTAATGACTATGCTCAATCTTTTTCAGTGATTAAAATAGTTATCAACATTTTTTGAATACAATAAACCAAGCCCTCTAATACAAAAGGAAAAACAGAGGTAAATGGTGATGATAATATCATAATTTTGATTAACATACATGTGTGATAATTCAAGAATAAACCTGCACATTTACATGATCTTTGCAATAACCAAATTGATTTTAGGACCAAGTACATGAAAAAACAACAGAAATGATTTCTTCTAGATTGAATATTAGAGGCAAGACATGATGTTTAATTTGAAATAAAAATATAACAAATGCTTTATGTAGTAAGAATTGACAATAAAAAGTTGACTGCTGAGTGGTAGGAATATTTTATTACACTGTAAATAAGTGAAAGCGATATGTACTTTAACAAAACCAAAAATAGAATATGTATGATCAGCAAACAGAAGAATATAAGACACAATGATGACACTTCCACAGCAAGTTTGGACTCTTCAAGATCAGAAACAAACCTGTTTAAAAAAACTGCATTTACAGTTTACCTTCTCTTTGTAGCTGAACAATCAGAAAATTGTATCACAAAGACTCAGAAGTACCTATGCTCCATGTGACATTACAATACAACTGTTCTATGAAACATGGATATAAGATAGCAAAAAATAAGTTGACATATTTAAATGAAAACGTTTTCTAGTTTATTTTGTGTGATGTTTAGAGGAGACACCCTTCATCAGGTAGTAAAGACCATGTTACTATTGTAATACAGTCTCTATCTGATAAAGGGTGTCTGCTTGAAACATTACACAAAATAAACTACAAAGTTTTCATATAGACGTGTCAATTTATTTCTGATTATCATTCATCCAAGTTTTCTGCTCACGTCTTGCAGAACAACACTCATTCAAGAATGTACTATGAAACAGTAGACAGTTTCCATGGTCAAACCCTGTTGTAGAAAGTAACACCTAAAGCTGAATTTAGTATGTAATCTCAATCAGATTTAGAATTTTTAAACCTGAAGTTTGAAAAATCTAAAATTGTTGGAGGTACGAGATATGCATTATGGGAGAGTAAGCAGTATTTACATATCACAGCTTATGATGGCAATACTCAACAGCACAGCATAATATTGATGGAACCTCATTTGCTAACACACATGTAATAAGAAATATATGTTGAAATAAACAGTAAATAAAATAAGGTACTCTAAGCTGGTTTTTCTAGTAAAATAAATTAAGAATTAATATACAATAACAAAGATCTTAACCCTATCTGGATCACAAAGTACTTTTCAAGTTTCAAGGGCATACCTATCTATCAGATTTGAAAAATGTATGGAAAAATAATAATGGTAGCTTTATTTCAACAAATTTGCTTGATATTTTGTCAATATTTAATATTTATTTAGTGTAATTCTCAAATAAAAATGTCAACATTTTTCAATTATAATTCATGTGCAGCTCTGAAGCTTCTCACCTATAAACAATGTATTTATCAATTTTTCAAGACTTTTCTGCCCAACCCAAAGCACAGACTTATACTTTTTAAAGAAACTACCATCCTTTGAGAACATAGTAGCATGTGGCTTAAACAATTACCAATGAAGTACAGCTTTGAAAATAGCTACAGATAACATTTAAATACAATTAAAAATACCACATTATGAACTATTTATATCATCACCAGGTAAGTAAAATGGTTTGAGCACTAATTTATGGTTTTATGGGAAAGTGTCCAGTTATAATTTGAACTTGATCAAGAATAGTGTTATCAACAATCACAATTCCTAGCCCCACAAAAGGAAATGGTAATGCCACTTTGATGTCCAGTATCAATGATAAATCTTTGTCAGCTTTTCTTTCTCTTTATAATAAGTAGTAGTGAGTACAGCAATCAGCAAAACAAAATATCAAAAGAAATGTCTTAATGAACATCATTCAAGTCGAGCCTTCTTGATATATAAAGTGAAACTTTTGGAAGAACAATAAAAAAATTAAATTCTATGACAAAAGAAAGTTATAAAGTTTTTCAAAAGTGTCTCTCAAAAGAATTTATAAAATTTCACAATGATGAAAATGATAAAAATAATAAGACAAATTATATGGGATATTTCTATTAAATTTGACATAATTTGATTAAATACTTCAAATGGAAGAAGAAAAACAAGCAACGGATATCAATGACACTTCTTCAGTCTAGAAAAGGGTTAAAACACTTATTGTTTTATAACTGTGTAGTGTGGATTATATATCGTATCAATGTGCTGTCTGAATATATTGAAAAGGGCTTCATATACCTCTTTCTTTGTAATTTACAATTTCCCTTGTGACAAATTTTGACATTATTTCTGTTATCTTGCATGGTATTCAGGTCCACTGATATCCAGCATATAAGTTTAAAAGTATCTGCTCTAACACAGATTCCAGAGACCTTATGCAAAGAATAAATCAAGCTCAGAAGAAAAAAGGAAATAAACACACAAACACAAGTGAACAAATAATTAAAACCATGTGACATGGGGGCATACTAACTTCTCATTTACAGACTTTTTTCTTTCGTTATAAAGGATTCAAATTATTCACTCAATTAGAAACACATACCATAAATACTGGATAAGCACCAGAAATTAAAATTTTAATCTTTTATCTTCTTTCTTTACTTAGAGCTCACTATGTTTGTTCTAACCACATATCATGCACCTCTCATATCCTCTGTCTTTCAAAAGTTATTATTTTCCTATACTGAAAATAGATTTCTAATAGGTACTTACCCCCTCTCACATGTATAGCTGTTCTCCTTCATTGCTGCCTTCTATATGCAAAAATGTTGTAGCATGCTACAAGCCTGAACTCCCATGTACCCCACTATCAATGTGGTTCAACTGCATCTTATTTGTAAATCATCATGCGACACACTCTCCTGATGTATGTGACTCCCTCTATTCGATTCTAGTGAACCATCACTTCGAGACTAGGCAGAAAAGAAAACCCCGGTTTTCAGTGTGGAGGAAGGGTATGAAGTGTGAAAGAAGGTATGTACCTATCGGAAATCTATTTTCAGTATAGGAAAATAATAACTTCCAATACTGTACATTATCTCCGCTCACATGTATAACTAGAATATCACATTGAATAGGTGGAGGGAAACTAACAAGTATCCTTTGAAAGCATCAGAAGAACACCCATAAAGTGTGATCCCTGTTGGGAGAGGAAGACACTTAGGAGACTGCATCACTTCTGTACCAGGTATATTCTGTGCCCAGTGTGGAAACATGTGTTGCATACATTGGTGGAAAGTGGGAGGAGCACTATCAAAAAGGGAGAAAAAACTGGTTGGGTTGGAATCCGAAAAACAGTAAACCAGAATCTCAAACCCGTAAAAGGTAGAGAGAGGCTAGGGCACAACGGCAAGTAAACTCCAGTCCAAAACCAAGCAGCATCAAGAATAGAACCTCTGACCTGTGGTAGGAGGAGGGTCTACACAATCTTCACCTCAAGTTAAGTACAATGGAAGCATATACTTTGCAAACCAATCTATCCATACATCCAGGAACCTGACATCCGAATGATTGTAGGAAGGGATATGCTAATGTGGCAGGTCACATCAAACTCAAAAAGATTGGCACCCCACTGCACAACATCAGCCTCAGACAGTGGAAACCCCCTGTGGTGGAGCGCGAGAGGAAGAACCATCACCTTGATCAACATTATTCTCTAAACTGAAGTGGTAAAGATTCCCATACATCACTAGAAGAACAAGGGGGATAAAATGTAATGGAGAGTGGAGGAATGCAAACACTGGAGACAGTGCAACAAGTGACCAAAAAAAACTATTTTGAAAGGCAGATCACCCCTGATTTATTCAATCGAAGGGACAGCAGGGATGGACTGCTATCCCCTTTACCCATGTAAGTACATGGGTTAGCACAGCCTGGAACAGGGATATTAATGACGCAACTATATCACAAGGAAAAACCTACTAGTGATTTGTGGAACACTCTATCTCAACAGTATGCATTATAGGCCATGGGTATACATCGTGGCTATACAGTGCAGATTTGAGATGTAGAAAACATACCTGAACAGGCAACACTTGCCACTAAGCAGGATCCCAATAAGACATGTCCCTGGTTGAAAAAATATATATATCATGGCTGTAATAAAGTTTGAAGGATGGCAACAGTCAGAAAACAGTATCCCAATGAGGAAGAAACAATTACTCAATGAATATAGAGGGAGATGAATGTATGAGGTGGAAGCCACATGCCTGACTGAATAGTTTCCTCCAATGGACGGTGGAGGTGAGACTCTAAGAAAAATGGAATGTGCCTGATCTCAGTGTCCACACGTGAATCCAGGAAGTACAAAGATAATGAGAAAGTAGATGAACCTGTCAAAAGACAGAGTCCTTCACATGAAGATCTCAACAGCAAAAAAGCTACGTGTGAAGGGATATGGCCAAAAAGGACAATAGCACAAATGAAGAGTAAAGAGGGAATGTGTATCCCCTGAAAAACCCCTCTGGGGATTGGTGGAGTACCTAAGAAAAGAGATATATATTGGCCAATTACTGCAGGAGTGATGTAAAAGTAATACGAAGGTGGGAAAAAGGAAGTGGGACAAATGAATAGGATTATCAGGGACAGCCATCCACATGAGCAAAAGTGACTAACTACTAGGAGTGAAGATAAAGTTAATCAGCTTCTGATAAGCCAAAGCATAAAGATCAGAAGTCCATGGAGGATAAGGAATGCTAACACCAGCCCTCAACTGAGAAACGAAATGCTAGCTGGAACCCTGATGTCAGGGGAAGGAAGGAAAACAAGAGAGCCTAATGACGAGTGTCATGTTGAAAAAAGAAACAGTATCATATGAAAACTGTGAAAACAGAAAATACCTGAGAAAGCATTTCCAAAAAGGCAATTTCATAGATTTCATAGAAGATGCATAGCATAAGTAGGAGGAGGGGAAAAAAACAGTCATAATCCTCCTTGAAGTCATAATGGCATTTGAAGAAGCAGTAATAATATCAGATGTTGTAAAACAAAAACTTTGGAATTCATCTCAAACCCTGAAAAAGTCGAAAACGAGAAGGTAAAATCAATAAAAAAAGGTAAGTTACTGTACTACTACAAACAAAACTGGTGCAAATAAATAAAATAAATCACTATTTCGCACCCAAAAAAAATTAAATGTACACTAAAAAAAGAACACAAGTGAAAAACATCTGCACTCAATCACTGCCTAACAAGAAGTGATAGTTTGGTAGAACTGCATCATGAGGGTGTGTCACACTCCTATTGGTGGAGGGTTGTCACATGATGATTTACACGAGATTCAGTTGAATCACATCCATTTGGGTACATGGGAGTTCAAGGCTTGTGGCATGCAAAATAATTTTGCATATAGAGGGCATCACTAAACAAGAACATTTGTACATGTGAGAGAAGGTAATGTACTGTATCGGAAACATGTTTATAACCAATATTTGTTTATTCTAAGCTACATAAATCAGATGACTGATTGGAGGAACTCATTGAAGGAATGTATGCAGGTTGCCATCTTGTTATGTAATATGATAGGTGATTTTTTGCTTTGTTACACTATGTAGTTAGACATGGTTAAAAGAACGACAAAATAATAAAATTTAAATAAGGAAGATGTGTAAAGTTTAAGAGGTCTGAAGCTGTTGGGTTAGATAATTGTGACTGTCTGTTACAATCTACAGTCATTCTTAAAATAAAAAAGGTATTTTTGATTTTATATCATATTTTTTTCAACTTTTTATTTACTACATGTTAATTATTTCACTACAGCTACTGTTAGCATAGAGAAAATAAGTGAAAGTAAAAAGCTTTACTAAATAAAACTTTTGAAAGTTCTAGAGGCTATATAAATGAAATATGAAAATTGTAAGATGAAAAGCAGTATTTTTTATAACCTTTCACTCAGACTGACTCAGTAAAAGCTCTATAAATACACAGACAAATCTCTAAAATTAATTCATCAAAAAATCACATTTTTGTGTAAAACAGTTGTGTAATGTTTGGTAAGCCAAATTTTGTGAGGAAACAGTTAGTAAATTCAGAGTTATAATAGGTATAATTTCATGATTACATAGAGGTTACAATGTGCTCAAATTCATCTCCATATGGTTAATGAGTGCCTTGATACTCCAGGGAGACTACCCTCATAAGTCTCATGACATTCAGACCACTCAACACCATCATGACCCTTCTCTGTTGTTCCCTGCTCCTGCATGTGAGAAGTAACCATCTGAGGTCACATAACAATAGCCTAGGTGTCCCTTAGCTTATCAACCTCTTGGTGCTCAGATGAGAACATGGACATGGCTCTCACCACTGGTGATGAAAGCTTGTTACAATCTCAGATCAAGTCCTCACTTCAACCATAACTTCCTCCTCTCATGAAGTTCTATGTAATATTAGAGAATGCTCCTTTCCATGATCATGATTATTGAATGCTACATGTATAAAAAGTAAAGGATAAAAAGACGCAAGTTCAAAATAAATTCAACAATAACAAATTCTTTGATTATGGAACCAAAAAAAATTTACTTTCTCACTTTTCTGTGGTATTCAGGTCCACTGATATCTAGCAGATATGTTTAAAATCATACACAAAATATAGATCTTATAAAGAGAATAAATCAAATTCAGACTGCCATGGAAAGATGCATACAAACACAAGTGAATAAATAAAAACAATATTTATTCACAATTATTGTGTATAGTGTCTATTTGCAAGATTGGCCAGTCTCTTTGTCCTGTAGTAACTATACTGGCTGCTGAGATTAAGAGAAGCCTTTTCTAAAATGTCCATACAAGATGAAGACATGAATAATTCTATATCACATCTACACAGACAAAAACAAAGATAATTATAATTTACTGCATCAATTTCAAACAAAAACATTAAATGCACAGTATACCAGCATCCAGTGCTGCATACATCACCAACTACTTCAAATGGCATATTTGGGAAAGAAAACACCTAACTCTACCAATCTGTAGTATATGTGAGGCCAGACTCAAGGTCAGAGTTTTATAAGTTCCTAGCCACTGGCACATGAATCATTACTTTAGACTTTTGAGATTTGGTTAGTAACAAATATCATGGTATAAGCAGGAACCGTGCATGAACATTTAGAAAAAGTCATTTGAATACATTTCAATAAAGCTATATTCTAAACTACTTATGGAAAAGTGAAATTTTTGGCTGTTCCAGTTATGACATCTGTACTTTATAAATGAACTGTTACCCTAAATCAAAATATCTATATATTAATTTTTTCAACTGATATTTTTTATATGTATGAAAAATAATGATAGGCAATTATTACACAATATTATTCAAAAAATAAGTTAACTTGTAAAATTATTTACAGGTTAAGCATATTTAACCCATTCACTGCAGCTGGGACATATATTTCCCACTGCATTGGGAAATATATGTCCCAGCCACAGTGAAAGAGTTAAATTACTCAATCCAATACCTATTTTAACACATCTAAAGTTAAAAAAAAAGATTATTTACTTACTTATAGTGATTATCAGCAAATCCTAGTCCAGAGTTTGATGGAATCGCAGCAATGTGTTCTACGTAAACAATTACCATTGTTGTTGCTGTCAAAGAAGGTTTACCCAAGTCTCGTGCTTTCACCTCGATCTTGTATGTAATCAGTACTAAATATTAGTTAGCATAAAAAACTGTGTTATATTTTCACACTTAAAGAATAATCGTTACAACAGCAATAAGAAAAGTGTAGCCAAGATCATTTTACAGATATAATACCAGGCCTCTCAGCTGACTCCCAGAAATGAACAGGACAAATGCAGGAATATTTTTTAAAAATATCAGAAAGAATACAGAAATTTTAGGGTAAAATACAAGAATATATTAAACCACATATGCTGCATATTATCGCTAATACTTTGAGAATTACAATTTATACCTTTGTTGACAGATGAAAAGCAAAACTTATGATACTTAAAACTTACATTCCTGTTACCAGTGGTTACTCTTGAGTTTGTACATCATATTCAGTGAATGAAGACAAGATAAGCCATACACATGTTTGTTGTCAAGAAGCATTATCTTGCTCAAATACTTGATAAGTTATTGGTAGAATGACCTCATGCCTAACACAACAACACCTGTTTTGTTCTCTACAAGGGATGAAAGCAACGATCTTATTTGCAGGCCTATGTTCATTCAGGCATCTTTCAGCTGTTTTTACACTTCATCAACATGCATTTTACTCAGTTTTAAATATCTTACACTTTCAACAATATTCTTATTTAGAAATCTCATTGTGATTGACATAAATCAGAAAGCAATGAATGTAACACATGGTAAGTGATCCTCACACTCAACTATTTCTAAACATATCTCCAATAAAAGTGTGACATCAAAGCTAAAGTGGATATCTTCTCATCTGTAACGATTTTTCAGTTTCTCACAAATCGTGAGGTATTTCTACCTTTTGTTGCACTTTTATTCCATTTTTGACAATTCCATTAAAGAATACTGAGTGAGAGAATATCATTTCTCCAAAATTTTCTGCAGTGCTGGAGAAAATGTCAGACATCTGATTGGTAGAAAGTTAATTATAAAAATAGGTCTTTTACTTTTTGGATTAAGACCAGAAGATTCACAAACTATGAATTCTCTATGTCTACTAGAAAACTTGAGTAGCCTTATTATTCTTTGAGCATACATATTGCTATTCTATCAGTGTTACAGTCTGTAGGAAGGTGCAAAGGATGGTATAAAATTGGGTATTTTTAAAGGCAATCTACTGTATTTTAAATTAATACTTAAATATTCATGCCGAATTAATATCAACATCACTGAATCTATACTGTGTGTCTCTCATTTGTGTACTAATAACAGTAGAAAAACAATTTAATATTCTTAAATACAAAATTACTTCCATACAAAAAAGAACATACCTTGTACTCAGAATCGGGTTCTTTTCGTAAATCATCTTTAACAGATATCACACCACTACTGGCATCAATCAAAAAGTAATTTGGAGCCTTCTCTTGACCACTGATTACATACTGTACTTGATTTCCAGGTGACTAAAAATGACAAACTTATAATGTCATTTAGATCCATCAGACATGTACATCACATTGGTATAATATCAAATAGATTTTATGAATTTATATTCATGAAAGAAAAATCTTTCTTAGCTTTTTTTCATATTCTCTGTACTAGAAGTTCAGTAAAGGAAATTTGCATTGCAACAATAATTTTCACATAAATATGTGTTACATGCTTATACCAAAATCAATATCACTTACTGTCAAAACAGAAAAAAAGTCCACAAATATTGACCATAACTTACACATCTGTAAGAAAGCCTGATAATGAAGTGAAGCTTTCTTCTGCTATAATTAATTATAAGTTAATAAATATAATGCAATTTCCAATATATATAAAAAATAATTTATTACTTAAAAAATATTATAACTTTTCAACTGTTCACATATTTTGGCTAAATACTAGAAGATACACAAAATAAAATCTTTCAATAAAGAATAATTTTGAAACTTCTAAAGCATTTTTTCAGAACTTGAAAATATTACAGAATTTTTATATTTTTAATGATATATTTATGAGATTATACAGCAAATCAGTCTAATTTACCATAATGAAAGAAATAATGTGTCTCCATCATACACAGGTTTTGTTATTTTTAAATTGTGACTGAATGGAATATTTCTCTTACCATATGATAAATATAAACCTTCGTAAGGTAAGGCAACTAAAATCAGTTGTGTTTTTAAAAGTTTTGAATAAAACTAATTTTAGTAATAAATGTTTGGTGAAACTTAAACTCTAAAATACAAAGAACTTACCAACAACAGCTAAAGAAAACCACAGAAGATAACACATGAAGATAAATTAATCCCACATTAACAAATTGTAGTTGGAGCTAATGGTTTAGAATCTTTCACATATGATAACAACAATCCCAACTATCATTCCTACCTATATTTAACCCTTTAGAGATGGGTAGGTTAAAGTGCTCTTGTCACAAACTTTTATAGAGTTACATTCAAAACTTAACTAAATATCTTATTATCAATGTATATAAATACACTTGATGTCAAACCATAGTTATTAAACAAATTTTGAAATTATTTAAGTTTTAAGTTCTTCATTTTATACGGAAATCTTTTAAAAAATCCTCAGTCCTCCCTGGCATGAGAACTCTGACATTTGCTCTCTACATTTTCCCTCTTCAATAATTTACTTATTATAATATAGGTTAACATTTTCTTAAATCAAAAATGTATTTCAAATAATACTTATCTCTGCTCATCACTACAGCTATTACTTGACTTCCAGGGTTTTCATCCTTTGCCCATCTAAGCATTGGTCTGAATTTTTCTAGCTTGCTCCAGTCGTTTATTCCCCATTTCATTATTACCCTTGGTGATATCTGTCATGTGACACTGTCCACCTACGTCAATGCGTCCTCTATCCCGATACTGTATTTAATATTATCACTTTTTCAAGACTGACCCATTCTGCAGTATCTAACACCAGCTTTTAGTGGGGAGGAAGGGCAGGAGAGTGTGAAAGAGGTATTATTGGTAATGTAAGGAAAATGTTAACTTCCAAAATATACTTACCTCCTCTCACAATAAAGCTACAATTCCACATTGATAAGGTGAGGGCATTATCCATACAAAAAGCATCTGCATAGATTATGGGCATGCCAATAGAAGATTAGCACCTGTGTGGGGGAAACACACTAAATCCAGAATAGAAATGCTGTTCACCTGGAACTTAAATCAAATACTGTGGGTAGACTGTTACATGATCTGTCATCACTATTGACCAGGCCCCTATGACATAACCAGTGTTCCGTTACTCAGGGTTGGAATTATAGGGTCCCTATATCCCACACTGGTAGATAGGGCAGTTGGACAGTAATATACATATATATACACTGAGTGGTCACAAGTAAATAGACACATATTTTCGT